ACAGTATGTTGCCTCTTATTTTTGATGATTCCAGAAAAAATAAAATATGTTTATATTGATTTGAGAGAGAGAGGAAAAGAGAGGAATGCAGAGATACAAATATCAATGAAACAGATCAGTTGCCTCCTGCATGACGCCTATTGGGTATTGAGCCTGCAACTCGGCATGTGCCCTGAAGAGGAATCTAATGGGTGACCTCAACCACTGAACCACACTGTCTGGGTTGATTCCAGATTTTTTAATTCAAAGTTTCTCTGTACTCTATTGTTTTCTTCAGAGCTGATAGGTCTTTCCCTTTTTACAAAGTTCCTTTGGTTCAATGTCTCACCAAACAAACAAAAAACTACTCTTTTGTAGGGATTCACTGAGGAGTTGGCAGAAGATGGGAGGTGGTTTGACATTGAACTGTATGTATGTGGAAGGAGATTTGGGTGTATAACTCTGCTTATATAGACTTTCAACCAATTCTTTTGATTTTAGACTCAATTATACTCTCACTCTAAGAACTAAATGGTGTCTCCAATTCTTGAGCTTTTTAAAGATCGGTCGCATAAGCATACCTAGTTCTATCCATACTGACAGCTTTGATTTAAGCTTTCTCTGGTATGCTAAGCAGTGGCCATTTCTTGACCCAATTCTTTTCCTTCATAATTGTTTTTCTGCCATCTCCTTTCTCATTCTCTCTACCCTTGTTGATATGTGATTTGTTGTTGTGACTGATGTTTTATCCTTTTACTATTGTTTTAGTATGGCTGCGCAGGGAGAAGACATAAAGAATGCATATGATTAAAACAACAGGTTTAGCCCTAGCCATTCGGCTCAGTGGATAGAGTGTTGGCCTGTGGATTGAAGTGTCCTGTGTTCGATTCCGGTCAAGGGCACATGCCCAAGTTGTGCACTCAATCCCAGTGGGGGGCATGCAGGAGCCAGCTGATCAATGATTCTCTGTCATCATTGATGTTTCTCTCTCTCTCTCTCTCTCTCTCTCTCTCTCTCTCCCTTCCACCCTAAAATCAATAAAAAATATATTTAAACAAACAAATAAAAGCAGCAGGTTTAAATAAAACTAATTCTACATGTTTCTCTTAAACATATAGCTGTTATTTTTCAGAATCTCATAAGAAAGTAGCTTCTCAGGGTCTGACAACTGGATGCTCAGAGCCTAGTGTAATTGATTGGCTTTTGATAAAAAATATTTGTATACTTGACTAGGTCAGATATTATGAAAAAAATTTTAACTCATTATGTGATTATGAAATCTGCCTCTTTATAAATATACTATTATTAAAGGATTACACTTCAGATAATTCTTATAATGCTTTTATAATTTTTAGGGAAATAAGATAGGTTATATTAAATTGAGGAACATAATTATAATATTTTTTCAAAATAATAATACAGAAACAATCATATTCTTGATTAAAATAGTAAACAAAAAATAAATTTGCAATTGCTTTATAAAATCAAAGGGAACCACAAGAAATTTTAGAAAATAAAGTGGGGAGAATTACTAATTTACATTATTTAATTTCCTCAAATTCATTAAAATATTGATATAGTGTCACAAATATTTCAAAATATCTGTCTAATAAAAATAACCTCATTTTATATCAATGAATTGTAGCAGATTCCTCTTTCCTGAAAGTAAATTTTTTCATCAAAATAATAAGGGCTTATAACTTTAGATATGTATTAGCTGTCAAGTCTAGAAAGTAATGATCAGAACATTCAATTTAATGAGATATATATTTTCACAATTAGGAAAATACTCCAGGACTAGTGGTGGCCAGAAAATTAATATTTTGTGAGGCACTTTTTATAGGCAACCTATCACAAGAAATTAAAGGCTAAATTATAATATTATTTATTTTAAAGATTGTTATATCCATGCCATAGTTGCCTCAATTTGTTATTGTAAATATAATCCTTACCAGCAGATATTTTTAAATTTAATTTTATGCCCATCTTGTGTTTTAAGTTCTCTTGATATTGATGAAAGTTCCACTTATAGAACCAATTTAGAAAATGAAATATAAATGCATCCAGTACAGGTGATTATTCTAAAACCATGACTCCAACAGGAAAATAGGTCCTATTGTTTTAGCATTTCCTAAAATACTTAAAGCAAAGGGCCTGAAATAAAGTAGCTCACTTGTTTATGATTTATAAAAATGACTATCCAATCAAGCAGTCCCACATCAAATAAAAATCCACGCACCATTATATGTAACACTGTAATCTCATTTTAGGCACCAAGTTGCCAAATTTAACATAGCATTAATAAGTTAACCCCCTTCTTATTAACAGTGATAGAACTTATTTAAACTTGAGAAGTTTCAAGTACAGGAAAACATACTTAAACCTAAAAACTGTCGTCTTCAAGTAGGTCATATTTGGAACAGGTGAACTCATCAGATAGGCCTAATTGTCTCTATTGTGTTCTTATCAGTCAGAAATTTTTGCAAAATTATTATCTGAAGGAGTTTATTTATCCAAACCTTCAAGAAAGGCATAACTCTTAAAAACACATGTCTTGGTCCCATAAGAAAGATCTCTGGCATTCCTTGGAAAATTTACATCCATAGAGCCCATAATTGAATACATTTTATTGTCCTATATAATATAATTTTAGACAGCTTTCTAATAAATCCTGGCCACCAAAAAATACTGAAAATAGTGCTTCATCATGGTTTGCATCACAGTGACATTTCACTTAAACAACATAGAACAAAATGGTAGTTCAGGTTAGTGGGAAACATCCTAGAGGAAGTCAGAGAAGTAGGGAACAGAGCTAGTGCCTTCAGGAACGTGACACAGCCCCACACTATTAGGATTGACAAAACTGGAAGACCATTGCTATCATTCCCACCAAACTGTGCAATAGGAACTAAGTCACTGAGGCACTGCTGAGTCTAGACAGCCAGAGATATGAACAGATAGAAGAGTGGGTGCGATGCAGAATAGTACTGAAAAGGCTTTGTAGGAAGAAGGGGAGAAGAAAATGTTTTTAAGAGTCCTTAAAAATGTCAGTTCCCTCTTTGTATTAGATTGTTAACCAAAATATATTTTAAAATTGTTATTATTAAACCTATTGTGGCAATACAAGTCACAAACTCTTATTCATAACCTTTGGGGAGTGTTTTTCGTAATATTTCAGATTTAAGAAAGATAATATGGTACATTTACCACGTATTATATGACACACTCAGTTGGGTATGGGGCAAAGCTATGTAATCAAAGACATTTTTTTCCTGAGTAAAACATGTGAGTATTCATACAAAGTAGGGTAAATAAACTGTATAAAGTATCTTCTATTTTTTTTTCTATTACAGTTATTTCAGGTCAGATGTTGCCATCTAACTAGATCACATCAAATTTTGCTAAAAGAAGTTAACAACAAACCTAACAAAAAAAACCAAAACAACATATACCCATTCAGTTTTCAGAACTTTTTAGATTTTAGAATTGTAATTAAAGTATTAAAGTTGTGTATTTTAAAAATTTATGACCAAATTACAATAATAAAATGCTTCTATAATATAACTTCTAAGTGGTTATATTATAGAAGCATTTAATTCATTTAAAGTAAATTTAGTTTAAAATTATATATGAATAGAAATACTAAAAATATTTTTAAAAGTATATGTAACTGGAAATATTTGATCAGGAGAAGGTGCTATACTGAGGCTGGGAAGTGTATGGGTGAGGCCAAGCTGTGTGCCAGTGGGGACAGGAAGATGACATGCAGATGCCCAAGTTACTCCAAGGAATGCTTAGGGGGCTAGAAAAATGGATTTCTTCTCTCTCATCCCTTCCAGAAAGGCAGAAAGCACCTGAATGTGGAAGGTTCATCACAAATAAAGCCCTGTCACCCAATGCTCAGTCACCTGAATAATTAATGATATTCAACATTGGATCTGATAATCTTGTGTAGTTCCAATCACTTTCCTAACTATGCAACACCTGTCATGTATTGAAAGAAAAGGAGATAGAACAGAATGAAATATAGGTAGTAAACCTAGAATTCTTTACTTGTTACTTATTCCTGAATTACTTTAAGGCAAGAAAAAAATCCTTTTATTCTAACGCTAAGAAGTTATTAAATAAAATTTAAGTTCTTCTAAAGCAGCGGTTCTCAACCTGTGGGTCGCGACCCCTTTGGGGGTTGAACGACCCTTTCACAGGGGTCGCCTAAGACCATCGGAAAACACATATATAATTACATATTGTTTTTGTGATTAATCACCATGCTTTAATTATGTTCAATTTGTAACAATGAAATTGGGGGTCACCACAACATGAGGAACTGTATTAAAGGGTCGTAGCATTAGGAAGGTTGAGAACCACTTTAAAGAGACAATGGAATGGTGAATAAACCTGTTCAAAATATCAAAATGATTGCAGGTCTTTAATTTGTTTTGGGGGGGAAGAAAGTAAAGAGAAGAAAAGGATTTTAAGTGTATTTGTTAACAGCAAAAATTGGAAAAATGAGACTAAGAACTAAAAAAAAAAATCAATCAACACTTTCCACATGGCACATTTTTCAAGGTTCTGATTATTTTCAACAGAGTTGGATCAAAACCAGTCTACACAGAGATTTTGGAATTTTACTATCAAATAGCTCTATACATATGATAAGCATTTAAAAAATAAGAATAGCTAAAATCACACATGTGTAAAATGAACAAAACAAATTATAGTATGTAGAGCATGTTCCTTTAAACAAATATAAATGTAGATTTATATGCTAACATGTAAAGATAAGAAACATACATTCAACACTACTAATTCATTGGTGAAATATTCAATTATATTTATTGTTTTATTCATTTGATTCTTAAATATTCTTTAAATAATATGTATATTTTATCATAAAATTATGAAATTTTCTATAGGATTTTTTTTCTTTGGGAAATATATTAAATGAGGTATCATTATCTTATATACCTCTCATCCTCAACTAAATAGTGCTTAATCAGTTTTCTGGAAAGTTTACTTACAGTACACATCCACTCTGATTGATTTTATCGCTGGGGACCCCAAGCCATTCTCTGCTTTACAGTAATACCGGCCTCCTTGGTTTCGCTGAATATTTGTAATCCTTAAAGTCTCATTGAAGACACTGGAGTCTTGGAATCTGTCAGAGGCACTTCCTGCTGTTTTGGTCCACCTGATCTGAGCAAGCATCAACAAAGATTGTTACTTTAGGTTGGTTTTCTCAAAGAAATATCAAAAATCAAATCATTTGAAGAATTTTCTTTCAGAACTACTATACTGCCATCCCTGGCCAGTTAATAAAAATTAAAAAGAAACATTTATACATATAACTAACTTATAAAATTTTAACTGCAATGTTGTCATCATATACTGTTTGTAATTTTAATTCAATTGCATAGAGTTTATCAATAGCTTAATCAGTGTAGAGGACAAATAAATCCTATATAATAAAGAGGTAATATGCAAATTGATCATCGTGCCCTCACACAAGATGGCTACCCCCCTGTGGTCACAAGATGGCCACCAAAAGATGGCTGGCAGGAAAGGGCAGTTGTGGGTGATCAGGCCAGCAGTGGGGACAGTTGGGGGCAACCAGGCAAGCAGGAGAGGGCAGCTGGGGGTGACCAGGCCTGTAGGGGATGGAGGGTAGTTGGGAGGAACCAGGCCGGCAGGGGAGGGCAGTTGGGGTGATTGGGCCAGCCCTCCCCTGCCCTCCCCAGACAGGGGAGCAGGCATCAATCAGGCTGGCAGGGGAATGGTTAGGGGTGATCTGGCTGGCAGGCAGAAGCAGTTAGGGGCAATCAGGAAGGCAGGAAGGTGAGCGGTTGGGAGTCAACAGTCCTGGATTGTGAAAGGGATGTCCGACTGACTGGCAATTGGCCGTCCCCTGAGGGGTCCCAGATTGGAGAGGTTGTAGGCTGGGCTGAGAGACACCCCTCCCCAGTGCACTAATGTCATGCACTGGGGTTCTAGTATAATATAAAATAAGTTAAAGATATGTAGAGTAGTCACCCCTAATCTATAGTTCCACTTTCTGCCATTTCAGTTACCTGTGGTCAACCCCAGTCTAAAACATTACATGGAAAATTCCAGAAATAAATTATTCATATGGTTAAGTTGAATGCTGCTGTTCTGAGCTACATAATGCAATCTCACACCATCCCACTCTATCCTGCCTAGGATGTGAATCAACCCTTTATCACTTAGTAGCCTTCAGTTATCACATCTACTGTTAATGATATCACAGTGCTTGGGCTTAAATAACCCTTACTTTATTTAATAATGGTTCCTAGCCCATTCACATAACTTTTATTACAGTATATTGGTATAATTGTCCTATTTTTATTATTAGTTATTATTGTTAATCTCTTACTTTGCTTAATTTATAAATGAAGGAATGCATGTATAAGAAAAAACAGTATATTAGTATATAGGGTTCCTTAATATCCACAGTTTCAGGTATCCACCGAGCGTCTTATAAGTACATCTGAGCGCAAGTGGGGATCTACTAAAGTAAGTTGTAAATACTAATTAGTTTCTCTTTCTTGTTGGGCACTTAAAATTTTTTTTTAATATTTTCCAAACCCTGTAAAGTACTTTTAATTTATTAACACAGGTACTAGAGGTAGGCTCTCAATATCTTTTTGGACAAGCTTCATTATTTTATTTTAATTTTTCTGTTTGATTTGGATAATCCTATATAATAAACTGCTAATATGCAAATAGACTGAACAGTGGAACAACCAAACAACCAAACAACCTGTCGCTATGACATGTGCTGACCACCAGGGAGCGCATGCAGAACATAGCGAGCATCAGCAGCAGGCGGCAGAGTGTGGAACATGGTGGGCGTAGGCCACAGTGGGATGGTGGAGCAGGTGAATGAGGGCGCCAGACCAAAGTGAGGTGCTGGTTGCTGTCATAAGGGCGAGCCTCTGGCAATGACTGAAAATTCTTTGCTCCCGTGTGCCTCGGTCCCGCCCAGCACTCATACCTGCAGCTGGTGCCGACCCCACTCGCACCCACTACCGGCCCCGGAGCTGCCTCTTGCACACGCTGCCAGCAACAGCCCTGCTCACACCTACTGCCAGTGCTGGAGCCGCCGCTAGCACCCACTGCCAACGCCAGTCCCACTCGCACCCACAGCTGGTGCCGGAGCTGCCACTCACACCCACTGCCAGTGCCCTGCGCCTGTCCCAATTGCTCAGTGCCATCAGAGGGTGCGAGAGGCAGCTGCCAGCCCCGATTGCCCCTGGGGTCTTCACCACCTCTCCCTGCTCCTGAGGGGTGATCAGGGAAGCAGCCACTGCTCGCACCTGCTGATGGTGTGGGCCCCAATCTCTGTGCACCAGTGGGTGCAAGCAGGGCTGGTGTCGTCAGCACGTGGGAGCAGTGATGGTGGAAGTGGGGCTACCAGCAGAGAGGGGACCAGGGACCATAGCAGAAGGGGCAGGTTGGGGGCGTGAAGGATGGGCCGAAACCTGCCCCTGTGCCCATTGCAGCCTCGCAGCCCACAGTTCCTTTCAAGGTGCATGAATTCATGCACTAGGCCCCTAGTTTAAGAATATTGCTGTAATGACTTATTGAGAGTACTAGAGACTTGGTGCACAAAATTCGAGCATGGGGAGGGGGTCTCTCAGCCCGGCCTGCACCCTCTCACAATCTGGGACCTCTGGCTCCTAACTGTTCACCTGCCTGCCTGCCTGATCTGCCCTAACTACTCATCTGCCTGCCTCATCACCCCTAACCACTCTGCCTGCCTGCCTGATTGCCCCTAACCACTCTGTCAGCCTGCCTGTTTGCCCCTAACCACCTCTGCCTCGTCCCTCACTGTGGTGGCTTCTCTGGAAGGCATCCAGAATGACTTCTAGAAGGTCATTCAGCTGTCCGGTCTAATCAGAATATTATGCCTTTATTATTATAGATATGTAATTTTACACACCTGGTTGTTGAAAATCCTTTTTTTTTATGGCTTTTCTTTAATAAGACCACAAATGACTTGTCAGTTTTGATCATTAGAATGCACTTTACATCAATAATTATTTCCAAAAAATGTGCAAATTTTCCCAAAGAGAACACCTCTATTACACTGCCAAAGCATTTTGAATATATAAAACATTCAATTATAAACAATACCCTTCTTTTAAACACAGCTGTGTACAGCAGACTTAGTTTGTACTAGGAATAAAGACACATTTAACTCAAGTTTCATGTTATTTTAATTTATAAAACCTGAACAAAAGCCGCATGATGGTACTGTAAATGATACAAAATAAGAAGTAAGAATAATTTTTTCTCTCTTTGTCCCTGATGTACAATATATATTTTCTTGTTTTTATTTTTATGTTGAGAAATGGCAGATAGAAATCCTCTGAAAACACACATGCAGAACCATGGAAAAAAATACCACTAAAAACAGTCTTCAAAATTGAAATCCTGTAATACTACCATTATTCAAGCTATTTTCATGTAATATTAAAATTATGATCTAGTAATATTAAAAGCATCTTTAAAAAGTTATCTAAATAATTAAAATATCAATATGAATATAATCATACTTGCCCTTATTTGTGAGTAAAATGAAAATATTACTTAGAGATGATGAAAACTCAGTAATTCACAAAATTAAATATCAAACGTTTATTCAACACCTCTATGCATGGAGTATACACAGAAGTAAAAGACATGATTTCTGACTTCTTGTAGTTTATATGCTGATTACTAATATGCTCATAAAAACACAGATATAACTAGGACCCTGGTTTGATAACTAGCATTTCTATGGTGAAATCTAGAATTCTGTTTTTATTTAAATTTCAAAATCTGAAGGCAACCAAGTAAGAAAGATTTAAATAAACAAATTATATATTTTTCTTGTATAGAAACATGCCAATTCTACGATAATATATATTTCTAAGATAGAAATAAAACATAATTTCAATTAAAATAGTGAATGTCCTTTGAGTAGCATAATAAGCAAAATTGATTTGAAAAATAAATATTTCATTAAACAAAAAGTTCTGGATTAAAAGTTAGGGAAACAACCTAGCACTTTCAGATATTAAAAATATGTAAATGTGTTATTAAGATACAATGATTAAGTTGTATATTACTGGTACAATACTAGAAATTGTTTGGGAATAGGGGAGAGACCAAGACCATGAGTGCACTTGTGTGTGTTGGGGTGTGTGTGTGTGTATGTGTATGAGAGAGAGAAAGAGAGAGAGAGAGAGAGAGAGAGAGAGAGAGAGAGAGAGAGAGAGAGAAAAGAAGAAGAAGAAGAAGAAGAAGAAGAAGAAGAAGAAGAAGAAGAAGAAGAAGAAGAAGGAGGAGGAGGAGGAGGAGGAGGAGGAGGAGGAGGAGGAGGAGGAGGAGGAGGAGGAGGGAGAAGAAGAAGAAGAAGAAGAAGAAGAAGAAGAAGAAGAAGAAGAAGAAGAAGAAGAAGGGAGAAAGGAGGAAGGAGGAAGAAGGAAGAAGGAAGAAGGAAGAAGGAAGAAGGAAGAAGGAAGAAGAAGAAGAAGAAGAGGAGGAGGAGAAAGGTGAGAGAAAGGGAGAAGAGACAGACAAGCACCTATCAAACTTTTTGGTCTTAAAAATTATTAAGGACTCCAAATAGCTTTTGGTTATTTGAATAATCCATTCATAATTATATTAGAAATTAAAACTGAGACCATGTTAAAATGTACATTAATTCATTTAAAATTATATTAATAAATTAATAAAATGTTAATATAAGTAACATTTTAAATCAGAAAACCATATTTTCCAAAACAAAAAATAATTGAGTAAAAACAATTAAATTGTTTTATAAGTCTTCAAATCTCAATAATATTGAGTTTAATGGAAAATATTCAGCTGAATAATCATATCAACTTCTGTATGCAACCTGTTACAACATGTTGCTTTGTTTGAAACATTTGAAGAAAATCTGATCTTTAGTTGGCTGTTAAAGGAAAAAAAAATATTTCAATAGCCTTTTCAGGTAATAGTGAATAGTCTTCTTTAGTATCACATTAAAACTCTGTAAGTGATAGTTTCCTAACATTTGCATGCAAAGTGGAATCCGTAACCATATCAATGACCTTTTGACACTCTGTTACATTAAAATCCATTGGTCGACTCCTGAACTTTGTATACATTTTTCATTCATACATGATTTCATATCATTGTGCAGTAGT